AAATTTTAATTTTGTAACTTTTTGCAGTGGTGTATTGAACTTATTAAGCAATATTAAATGTCTTAAGATTTCATAAAGTGTAAAAAAATAAGAATATTTTTCTATTGGAGAAATTACTTTTAATTCATTTTTCAATGATTAAAAACCAGTTTATTTTAAGCAGGTACATTAAACATTTATATTATTAAGCATTCATCAATTTCTATTCATAAAAACTATTCAGCAAATCCCAATTCTTGTCTAAATGTTTCCAAACTTTCACTTTCAAGTGTAATTCCTCTAATTCCAATATCTATTAAATAATCTGTTCCTCTTGTTTAAGATCAATAATAAATTGTTTATTTGGTTTGATTGAATTCTGTAGCTATATACTACGAATTGCTAGATCATATAGTGTATATAATATTATGTAGTGCACTTCGGTAGACTTAATTATACAATGACCAGAGTGACATATGGCGACAAATATGCTACCTAAAATAAGGATGTTAAATTCCAAAAAAGTAAAATGATTTGTATCGGAGCAGTGCTACAAAAACTCTAAATAAAAGAATATTGCTATGGACATAAGTATTTCTGAAATGTTTGAACAAGAATCTAAAATATTTTTGTGCGTTGAAGTTTTGAATTATCTTTTTGAAGTAAAAATCTAGTATGATAAAAATCTACTAATTAACAGACTGCTTTTTTATGCCCTTCCAATAAATGAATTCATTAAACGTTATCACTCCATAAAGAATTGCAAGAATCAATATCTTAACAAGGGTGCTTGCACGTTCAATAAATTTTATATTTAAACTAGGGAGGCCTGAGACTTAATTCGACGATTCACCTGTTTTTTTCATAACTTGATTTGTACGCTCTGTTCATTTTGAGAAGTAGATGCAAGAACTATGCGAAAGAATCTAAAACATCTGTCATTAGTCATTAATATTATTATTGCAAATTAAAAAAAAAAAGAAATTAATTCTTAAAAATTGTTTCACTTTATTATATTGCCGTGTCAACGGAGTCATACGATCGCTCAAAAATCAAAACTTTTTTCGTTAAATATTCTAATATAGTATAAAATTGATCATTTCTATACAATGGATTAAATAATAAGAAAACATATTATTTACGACAACAAAGGATGGAACAAATAACTTCAAAATGATAAATTTAAAAATCTGAGAAGATTTCCCCTCCATTATTAGTTCTTCATCCACAGCATTATGAAAAGGAGATATCACTTTTACTTTAGAAATTTTCAATTATTAGTATCGAATCTTTGTCATAGAATTGTAGTGTATAAGGAATCTGAGTTAAATCCAAGATCTTAAATTAATAAATTTAACTAGCGAAATGTATGTCGAAATATATAGATAATCCGAGTTGGTTATTATATATTTTGGTTGGTTATCGATTTTATAGCATAAAAAGTTTTTGAGGTTCTTGTTATGTCCGAAATTGAAAATTCTGATAAGTGTGTTGGACTTATAACTATTGACAAAGTACTCGTAGAAGCTCATAAACGAAATGGGATCCTTAGACACCCATGTCAGCAGATAATTTCCTTTAGAAAATTTAAAATTCTGAAACTGTTTTTGGCATCGGGGAAAGTATGAGCTTTAGTCCACTTACAAGTTTTCAGTATCAACGATTATATATTAATTCTCTTGCCAGTCAAAGGTAACGGCCTAATGATGTTTATTCCAATTCGTCGAAGGTTGTCCAATCTTGATGGTGTAGGAATACAATTTCATGGAAGTTTTTGGTTTTACATTGAGTGCAAGACTGATATTGATAGAAATAATTGAGGATCGTTAATCCAAAATGTCTGGCTAACAGTTCTTCATAAAAAGAAGATAAATATGTGCAACCACAGCAGATTTTTGTATATTAATCTATTTATAACAAATAATGTCGAGCCCAAGCTTTTAATTTTTAGTTATGAGGGTCACAATTCGTCAGTGATGTTTAAAGTAACTGTGAAGCTTACTTGTTGAGTGGGAACTATGTTGAGTTAAATCAGTTAAAATAAAAGTTCAAATAAAGAATAGCCAGCCATTATAATAAATCGACGAATTTTAAATTAAATATGAAATTGCGATAGGTGTAAACGTATGTTATTTTCAAGCATGATGTAAATCTTGAAAATCGTAAGGCATAACCAATCTGGCAGTTGGGATACAATATTGAATAAATGATAAAGTGCAACCGAAAGTGAATGCACCAGTATATATATAAATTCCAGTGGAAATATAGATGTAAGGAACTGTGCAGAAATAAGGTAATTATCCAATAATCAAAGCTTCTTATTAAGAATAATAATGCATTGTGGGTTATATTTATCCGATCATTGATCATAATACTTCGAGTTAATGGCCTGTTAACAAAATCATCTCAATTTCTCTATATAGTAAAATTAGAACTCTAGGTTTCAGTTAATAAATAAATATTCATATTTACTTTACTAATGAAACGGGGTATCTTTAAGATTAAAATTAATATTAATTATGTAGTTTCATAAGAATGTAAAGTACAATAATTAGCCCTTATGATGAAATAATGACGATTTCCATCTGGATACGTAAAATCCCGCTAACAAACTATTGTAGATCAAAGAGAAACAATGAGTAAGGTGCGAACATATACAGTATGAATGCAGGATCGTCTTAAAAGAAATCGTAATGGCAATGAAAGCGAATCACAATAACTGACGGATGCATACATCACCTAGATAAAGCTGCAGAATATATAGCTGTGAATTAGTTGTAGCAGACGAAACAATATGCTAACAGCGCATCTCTTTAACATTTTTTTTGTATCTGATGAATTGTACGAATTTATTGCAGACTTTAATTTCTAGAATATCCTGACAGGCAGGCGCAAATCTTCTCTAGCAAAAAAACAATACATTGATCAAACGAATTTAAATTTGATCAATGTTACCATGCAGTATATGGTGTTCAGTCAATGATTTTGCATTAGGGCTTAATTAATTCTGAACTTTTTGAAAAAAAAAAATCCATGTTTTTTTTGTTACGTGTCTAAGACGCGAAGTTGAAGATCATTTGATCATTTGGCATGACTAAAAAAGGATCTTGCACATTATATAACATAAATATTGAAAGGTTCTAAATTTTTTTAATTTCGTTCTATGGTTTTAAAAGGTATTTTTCTTTTTTTTTCATTTAACTCGAAATAATAAACTTTAAAGTAAACGACAAGTAAAGTTTTTTAAAAAAAAAAAAACTAATGAATTAGCTAGAAATCATGAGTCATGCCCTTATCAAGGTTATAAAATATAGCATGAAACTAGGTGGGTCAATGTATCTTTGATTGTCAGTGTGATTCTCCTGAAACCAAAATCTTCACCTTATTGCGCTTCCCCCAGTAAAAATTTTTTTTTCTTCCTAGGCGAAAGGATCCGATTTGATAAAAATTTGTCGGTCTTCATGATAATGATGATTAAGAATTTTTTTGTGAGTTTTTACACTTAAGACGTCAATTGTTTAGCGTTTAATAGAAAGCGTATTTAATACCCAATAATCATCTTCATCTAGGTTTTGGTTAGACTTCTTTTTAAACATATCTACAAGTTCTGCAATGATTTTATTCGTATCTATTTAACATCCAATAGCTGGCGCGGCAGTAATAAAAAATCAAAAAATAAGTTTAAGAATTTATCTAACCAAAAACCAAACCGGTTTGAATTTAGTTTCTCTGTCATTGCTGCAGTAAAAACAGAAAGGCGAAGTAAATATCCTAGCGGATTTGGTAAAATATTATGATTTTTTATCAACAAGTACTGGAGCAGTTAATGACGAAAAAAAAATTCTTATGCGGAGTGCAACTGAAAATATCGCCTAAAAA